TCTGCAGAGATAAAGCAGCTTTGGAGCTACATGAAAGAACTAAAAGAATGTGCCCCAACCACCCTAACAGGAAATTAGTAGAAACTTGGAAACCAAAGAAACGAATTCAACAAAGTCAATCATGCATCACATCACAGAACTAATGGAGAGTCAACATCTACCGCAAAACAGAAAAGAAACCGAAAGAGTCAACCAAAACATCCCTCCTCACCTTTCTTTAAAAAAGCCAATCATTACAACATCTCTCAGAGACAAGAGCACAAAATCTTCAGACCCAGTGACGCTGATGCTTGCATCACATCAAACAATCGACAGCTATTCAGATGACTGGGTACACGTCTATATGGACGGCTCAGCATTCAAAGGCACAACCAAAGCCGGATATGGAATACTAATACAGTACCCCGATGGAAGTTCCATTGAGATCTCCGCAGCCTGTGGAGAGAAATGCCGCAACTACAATGCAGAAATGATGGCAATTGAAACAGCACTGTACCATCTCCGCACAGTTTTTGACACTCATCCTGGAAAAGCACAGAGTGCTGTGATTTTCACTGACTCACTATCAGTCTTACAAGCCATAGAAAATGACCATCATCTAAACCAAGATTTGACTCATATACTCTTTGGATCCCATCATCTGATAACATTCTGTGGCATCAACCTAGTAATGCAGTGGGTGCCCGGACACTCAAACATTCCTGGAAATGACAGAGCAGACACACTTGCCAAACGGGGATCTAGACAGGAAAAAACCAACATTCCAACTTCATACAACACTGCAAAACAAATCATTAAAAGCAACAGCAAACAAGATTGGATGAACAGATGGGCCCTGGGAAAGACAGGCAGAGCAGTTTTCAAACAAATGACCACAACAAAAAGGAATGATAATATCAACCATATACAGAGAAAGAAACAGACCTCGATCTTCTGCCTACGAACAGAACATAATATATACAGCTCACTTTCCACCTGAACGAAATAAACCCGGAACTTCTCCCAATGTGTCCCTTGTGTGACTATGCCTGAGACTGTGGATCATCACCTGTTCCACTGCACAGCCCTAAATGACATCAGAGCCACACTTCTCCCTCTGAGACCTAACATTGACAACACACTCTATGGAACATTACAGCAACTGCAGCAAACCTGCACTTATCACTACATGACGTTGGACAGAAGGGCGAGAGCCCAGCTGTTGCTGGATCGATAACAACAACAACAACAACAACAACAATAAATCGGTAATTGCAGTGTTAGGACACTTGATTTAAAATACGGGCTTTAAACATCTTCCCGCCACTGAATTTTAAAAAGGAAGTAGTTGTAGTAGTAGTAGTAGTAGTAGTAGTAGTAGTAGTAGTAGTAGTAGTAGTAGTAGTAGTAGTAGTAGTAGTAGTAGTAGTAGTAGTAGTAGTAGTAGTAGTAGTAGTAGTAGTAGTAGTAGTAGTAGTAGTAGTAGTAGTAGAAGTAGTAGTAGTAGTAGTAGTAGTAGTAGAAGTAGTAGTAGTAGCAGCCCCGATTCCCCCCCCCCCCCAAACGTTCCCAGAGATCGATTTTTAAAAAGATCTTTCTCAAGGGTTTCAAACAAGCTTATTTGATGGTGGGTAGATCAAGTCTAAAATAGAAGGGGGGGGGGTTCTTTTTTTGAGGAGACGTGCCCTCTTAGCACCACTGTCCGTGCAGAGATAAACTTAAAGATAAGAAATCCACCAACACTAACAGCTTACACTGTGTCTTCTCACGTGCTGAGATAAGTTTACGTTGTTTGGGCAGGTCTTTCCTTTTTTGTTTGTTTTTAGCCTTGTTTTGTTTGGTTTGGTTGGGTTTTTAACAAATCTTTTTCCTTCACTAACCTGGGCTGTTTTCAATCTAGGACGTCAGAAAAAGGGTTTAACCACTTAACTGCCAAACCCGAGAATTGAGTTATGGAGCAGGTCTAAGAATAAAAGCCCATTCCTGAGTTTCACAAATCCCGGTTTATTAGACACACGAATTCATTGAAGGCTACTTTTTTTTATTAGAAGTGGTTTAGTCACGTCGTTGTCCCCTTTCAGCCGCCAACGCTGTCGACCCAACAATGTTAACGGGAGTGAGCTGATCTCGTTGAGACCTTTGTGCTTACCAAAAAACTGCCCACCCCTTCACACTCTCATAATCAATGTTTTAAAATTTTTCTCTCTGCCACTCGAACTAGGTGGATTAGATGGAGAAAAACTAATTGCCTACTTCCGGAGATTAAAAAAAGAACATCAAGACATTCAGAAGCAAGACCAGTAAGTGAAAAAATAACAAGAGCATTACATAATATTGGGAAGATTGTCTTTTATCAACAAGCAGTTGCCATTATGATTATATTGCAAAGTAAAATCTACTGGAATTAAGGTAATGGGGTTTGGCATGTCGTATGCAAATATACAAAACCCATAAATGTAACAGTTGAGCTCAATTTTAATGTTAAAATATATATGTAATTAAAATAGCGCCCCTGCCACCGCATACGTCATATTGCCCATACCTGAGGCACAGCATTGGCAATACTAACTCCTAACCCTCTAACACCCTAATCCCCCGCGTCAGGGTTCCTGACTCGTTCTGCAGCCTTTCTTCTGTTACTTCTCGGCTCTTTCTCACTGCTGTCTTTCATCCACACCCCTGTTCTTAAGGAAGGTAAGATCTAAAACCTAGCTTTCTCTGATAAGGGCGAAAAATCTCGGAGGTCCCGTGTGCAAGTTGCGCACGTTACTAAAATTGATAAGAGTAAAGCTTTGCTTCGGCCGCCACCCTGGCACAAATTTCCTACCAACTGAAAAAATGTTTAATGTGTCCCGCTCGCTCACATGACCCTATGCAGTTGCGAGTGCCGCAAAACATTAACAAAGAAAAATAAAATAAAATAAAATAATATGAACAGACTGGGCGGTTTAACAATAGATTTACGGTCTTCACAAATTTCTCGAACTCGGTGGCGTCTCTTGCTTTGTTGAGTATGCGTGTGTGTGTGTGTGTGTGTGTGCGTGTGTGTGTGTGTATGTGTGTGTGTGTGAGAGAGAGAGAGAGAGAGAAAGAGAGAGAGAGAGAGAGAGAGAGAGAGAGAGAGAGAGAGAGAGAGAGCTGAAAAAAACCTCTCCAAACAAATTCAAGGATGGATAAACCCTTTTTTTTTAACGCCTTCGTTTTTTCAAGGTCTTAGTTTTGCCCTCTCGAAAGTTTCACCCTCGCACCACTTTCTTTTCAGACGTCTATTACCGCAAAGAAACGCAAACAGAGATTTCAAGGTAAACAACACTTAGAAATTAGTGTATTAGTTAAAATGAGGTAGGTTTTTACCCCTGTTTTCACTGTTTTGTTTGTTTGTTGTTGGGTTTTTTTTCTTGTTTTTTTCTTGTTTTTTCTTGTTTTTTTAGTTTGTTTTTTTTTTTGGGGGGGGGAGGAGAGGATTGTGGCATTGAGATAATAATATGACAAAGTAGAACTCTTCATCCATATCTCGCGCGCCACCGGTTTTTACGCCCACATCTTATTCTCCATGTAGTCTTCTCTTCCCAACGCCTCAACCACAAACAAAAAACGAAAGATAGCAAAAATAATTTTAATCATAGCCCTATCAGGACGCCTACTAGCATTCTATGACAAGCTGTAATTGTATTTGCTGTTTTGGTGTGGGTGATATTTTTTTCTTTCATTATTATCACGTCACCGCACGGTGATAGGCAAAACGAGTCTCAGCATTCCCAAAGGTAGGTCAAGCAAGGGTATAAAACTGTCCATGGTCCTGTCCATGTCTTCACTTCACACGCTGACAGTTCCACGACATCGTTTCATACTTCGAGACAGTCTCTAAGAAACCAACATGTCACCTGCTCTGAGAGTTTGTCTTCTGGCCGTCTTCGCCTTTGCATGTCTTGTAAATTTGGCAGGTAAGAAGAAGTCATCATCATCATCATCATCATCATCATCATCTTCATCATCATGATCATGTTTTAAAGTAGAAAAAAAAGTATACTTGAGACTTGAATAGGGTTGGTGTTGCTTAATCAGATGGTCGTATAGGCCTGGATGTTCAACGTTTGGCCAATAAGGCTTCATCAGGAACATAGTATTTGAGATTTTTTTTAATTGAGTGATGACGCCAAAGCAACAAAGCGTCGATTTAGGTGCGATTTGGACAATATCGGAAAGAGCCGAAGCTCTGAAAAAGAAACGCTAAGTCGATATTGCCATAGTCCTGGCTGAGCGTATAGATACGTTTAAATTGATCACACATAATGTTTAAAGCTCACACCGAACTGGCACAAATTAAATTTCGAAAGGGGGGAGGGGGGATGTACAATCAAGTGCAACAGCACAAAGAAAGGGACACCCAAAAGTAAAAGTCTCACCACATCATGTTTTAAAGTAGAAAAAAAAGTATACTTGAGATTTGAATAGGGAATCATCATCATCATCATCATCATCATCCTCATCATCATCATCATCATCATCATCATCATCATCATCATCATCATCATCATC